TTGCGCCCGGTTTCACGAGTGGGGAAACTGAGGCACGGCCACGCTCCAGGGAGAGTGGGTGGCACAGGTTTGGCAATCCTCGCACGGGGCACGGCAGCGCTGAGCGAACACCGCCTTCAGCTCAGCCCCATGCTCCTGGCTTGCTCCAAGCGCTTCTCGCCGCTTGCTCACTACGGACCCCAGGCTGGTCCAGCACCTGGAGCATCCTCGCCCGATCCTTTGGGGGTGAGATGTCCCCCGGCAGAAAACTTCAAGACACCCAGGCTTTTCACGCAGCCGCCGCCAGCCGTTCACCAACGGTGGCCCTAAACGAAGCACGAGCAGCGAGCGAGCCTGGCCGCCGGGCCCGGCATCACCTGCGAGCACGGCCAGGGGCTCCGCAAGCTCTCAGCGCACTCCGCAAGAAACCTCGGAGCAACCTGGGGACCGGCAGCATCCAACCCTCCCCAAACCCAGGTGACTTGTGGAGCTCAGAGCATCTTCCCCAGACTGTCCTCCTCCTGCAAGGGGTATTTCCCGTGCTAATAGCAGCCCCATTAACGACCCACGCTCATTAACACCCTCATCTCCCGTTGCAGCTCTTACTGCTGCTCCGCCATCAAAGCCGTGGTGCTCCCGGGGGTGCGGGGCCGGGAACCACACACCATCCCACTGCTAATTAAGATAAACCTGCAGTCGATCAATGCAACAAGTTTTAGGGCTCCCTCTTAATTAAACACTCTCTAGCTTATCGATCGGCCCCAAAAGTTCCCTTTGCAGCAAATCATATCAATTAGTCAGGGGCAGGCGTGCGCCAGAGTCCTGCTAATTGAAATGTGTTGCCTGCAATGATTTTATTTTAATCAAGAAATCGAAGCAGGCGAGACGCGGGGACTGGGCTCCATCAGCGCGTGGTGGTCCCCGGGGAGGGACCGTGGCAGGAGGGGACGCGTGCGCAGCCCCTCGGGGACAGGGAGCCCCCGGGGCTCAGCCCAGGAGCTCTGGGCAGGCAGAACCGGTGAGGCAGAGCTGGAGGAAAATGGGCTTTTTTAGGGGTGCTGGCAGCAAATTCAAGTGGGAGGGAGCTCACCTGTCCCTGAATAACCCCTCCGTTATGGCACCTTCACCTTCCTTGGACCCGTGCCGTTACTCGGTGGGGTTTTCCCAGTCCTTTTAGCCCCCGGGGCTCAGCCCAGGAGCTCTGGGCAGGCAGAACCGGTGAGGCAGAGCTGGAGGAAAATGGGTTTTTTTAGGGGTGCTGGCAGCAAATTCAAGTGGGAGGGAGCTCACCTGTCCCTGAATAACCCCTCCGTTATGGCACCTTCACCTTCCTTGGACCCGTGCCGTTACTCGGTGGGGTTTTCCCAGTCCTTTTTAATCCCCATGACCAGGATGGGAGAGATGAACGCTGCTCCAGCTGTGCCAGGAGGATTGCACAGACACCAGGGAGCAGCTTCCCCCCTGTCCCATCCCCACCAGATTTGATATTTTGAGGTTGGAAATCCCTCCTGCAACCAAGCTGGGCAGCGTTCGGGCCCCGGGAAGAGCATCCCCAACCCACCACCCTGCAGTATTAAAACAGAAATCTTCTTGCCCAGCAGCTGCCGTTTTTGCTCTCCTGGAATCAGAGAATCACAGGATGGGTTCGGATGGAAGGGAGTTTACAAGATCCATCTAGTCCACCCCCCTTGCCATGGGTAGGGACATCTTCCACTAGAGCAGGTTGCTCAAAGCCCCGTCCAACCCAACCTTGAACACATCCAATATAGAATCACAGAATGGTTTGGGTTTTCGAAGATCATCTAACCCGCCCCTCCTGCCAGGAGCACAGACATCTTTTCAGCCTCTTTCAGGTTGCTCAAAGCCCCGTCCAATCCAACCTTGAACGCTTCCGGAGATGGGGCATCCACAACTTCTCTGGGCAACCTCTTCCAGTGCCTCACCACCATCACCGTACAACGTTTCTTCCCTATGTCCAATCTAACCCCTCCCTCTTCCAGTTTGAAACCATTGCCCCTTGTCTTGTCACTGCAGGCTCTGGTAAAAAGTCTGTCTCCATCTTTCTTGCAAGCCCCCTTTATATATTGAAAGGCCACAAGAAGGTCCGCCCAGAGCCTTCTCTTCTCCAGGCTGAACTCCATAGGAGAGGTGCTCCAACCCTCGGGCCATTTCCGTGGCCTCCTCTGGACCCGCTCTAACAGGTCCATGTCCTTCTTGTCCTGGAGACCCCAGAGCTGGACACAGGGCTCCGGGGGGTCTCGGAAGAGTGGAGCAGAGGGGCAGAACCCCCTCCCTCGACCTGCCGGCCACGCTGCTGTTGATGCAGCCAAGGATGGGGTTGGCTTTCTGGGCTGCAAGCACACGTTGCTGGCTCACGTTGAGCTGTTCATCCCCCAGTGCCCCCAAGTCCTTATCTGCAGGGCTGCTCTCAATCCCATTCATCCCCCAGCTGGCACTGGAGATTGCCCTGTCCCTGGTGCAGGACCTTGCACTTGGCCTGGCTGAACTTCAGCCCGCCCCTCCAGCCTGCCCAGGTCCCTCTGGATGGCATCAGCTGCCCCTCTCAGCTTGGTGTCGAGGGTGCACTCGATCCCACTGTCTGTGTCACCAATGAAGATACTGAGTAGTACTGGTCCCCGTATGGACCCTTAAGGGACACCACTTGTTACCCAC